GCAGATATTCCCTATAGGTCAATAAACAAATCGTTTTTGGAGTACGAACATAACTTTAGTAGTAGCATTTCTAGGAGTCTCTTATCTACAATAAGTGAGGTATAAACGAATCTACCAACCTCTTCTAAACATACGAAGAGATTACATATCCTCTTAATACTGTGATTATTGTACATACTTGAGATCGTGTTCAAATAAACTATTATCGCCTTGAATATCTAGCAACTGTAATGATTATGACAGAGATAAATGCCCTGAGCTTTTCTTAAGATCAGCAACCAGAAAAACAAGATAACCACTTGATTTATAGGCTAATTCAAACTCAAATCATAAGGCTCTCATTAGCTAATTTACAAAGACCTAAACAACTTAAATAAATGTGGGAATAAAAAGCATTTGTAAAGAATGAGAATCAATTAATTGGCTGCAGTAATATAAATGACCTTCATCCTGGAAGGTTATCGCTCCATTGATTTACAGAATCAGTTTGCGTCAATGTTATCTAAAAAGCAATTTAAAAAGCTTTATTATATTCACTTGACTCTGATAGTCCTAAACTTCCACATTGCATCACTCGAATTCATCTTTTAATGAGCACAAATCTGGTCTAAAAATATCGTGGTGCCTAATCGTTGACCAATGACTGTGTGAAAATAGTTCCCAATTTCTGTTGGCAAATTTTCGATGACTAACAAGCATCTTATTTTATTTCTTGACATCCCCTCTCAGGTTCTATAATAGAAAATGAAGATTTATCAACTACAGAAATCAACCGACTCCATGAAACTTCTAAGGTCAACTGCGTTGAAATTTGGCCAACATTCAGACCTTTTTAAAGATTATAACTGGATTTGATTTAGTTGACTAAACTCAATCATCGATTACTCATTTTGACTGCAAAGTACTTTTTCAAAGATAAGTAATTTTCACTTAGCTCGTTGGAAGCCAATACATACATTATTTTGGCTTTAAAGCCATTATAAGATATACGAAGTTTACAAAATATGTCTTATGGAAGATTCATCGGAACAATTTCACATTCTGTTGACATATAGGCGGAACACTAGAGCATAGGACAAAGCCGTTGTTGAATATCGTCGGTTGCTGTTATTGGATTTTGAGTTACAAATGATTGTAGCTAATGGGATCTGAGAGGGATATCGTATCCATGTGCATTCAAAATTAGTTCGCACTAATTTTATTGCGCCTCCTGATGGTAATCACTTGAAAAATGACCTTCCACAGAGTACTTGCTTTGTGATGTCAAATCCATTAACAAGCAATATTACTAAATTGTAATTCTTCACCATGTATATGCTTGACTTACAAACCATCAAATTTACTAATTTTGATATATTTGCTTGTGACTATGCATATTAAAACCTTAAAAATAACTACATAAAACTGAGATTCAATACTAAAATTACTAACAGAAACATTTGATTGTAGAATCGATTTTCATTAATTTAGTCAATTAGCTAAAAAACCCTGTCAGTCTTGAATTCGAAGAGGTTTCAGGTGGAATCGATAAAAGGATTAAAACAGCTAAAAATAAGCTTTCCTACAGTTCATCTATTTTCAGTTGTTTCTTACTATTCAATACTCTTGAAGTTACCTTCAAATGTAATCATTAATTTACGTGTACTCGGGTAAACAAGTACATAAGAGTGAAGGTTTCAGAACAAATTCCCTGAAAGTTGATTTTGGAGGTAAAGCATGCACTAGTGCTAAGATTAGACATTCAATAGATATTAAAAATGTGATCACAAAGACATTTAAAATAATTCACAAGTAGTAAACACTGATCTTTGTTGATTAAAGAAGTAACCATCAAAATAAATGTGATCAAACACCATTACTTCCTCATGTTAAACACATAAGAAAGAACCTTATCAGGAGTTTTAATATTTTAATAATTTAACAGTTAAATCCACAAGTCAATTGAAGCTAGACGACCATGGAAAACCTGGAAGCACTAGATTGCGGTTTCGTCCTAGCGTGGGACTTCTCAGCAATGTGCATTCATGATCCCGCCCCGCGAGATTCTAAACCAGGACCTGTCTTGCGCATGAATGCTTAAACTCTAAATCACCGAGCCGGCATCCAATGGTGTTAATGTCAAAGTGACAGGTCTCGCTGGATCGTGGATGAGCACTGCCAAGTCCCAAACTTTGATGAAAATGCCGTCCAGTGCTTTCAGATTTTTCATGGTGATCCAGCTTCAATTGACTGATGAATCGAACTATAAGAATGAATCGTTGAATGTAGTAAGATCACTAAATATGTCCTGGGCTTTACTTATCTAAAATTGCAAATGGACACACTTAAACAATCCCTTCATATTTTACGTTAAGTAACAACTTCCAATCAGTCAGTCAGCTACAACGTAGGAGCAGGCACATATGCATCGGTCCAGGTTGCCATACCTCGTTAGCACAGCAAGATGAACACCGGATTCATGGGAGTGGTTAGGTTAAAGGTGGTAATATATAGGAGAAAGATTGCATATGAGGATACAGTACCGGAATATAGAATTAGTTCGTAGAAAGAAAGATATGAAGCGACTTTAATCTCTTAGTTTAAGGTAAGACAGGGAGTGTATGCACCGATGCCATTGTGGTCGATTCTGAGCCATGTCACCAAGAGTCTCCAACCATTGGTTACGAAAGTCACGCGGACCCCAACCAAGTAGTCTGCATCTACCAACATGGCTCAGACTAGAGGTTAGTGTCTTCAAGCACTGATGCCACGTTTTGGTTTGGCCGCTCCTAACTTTCTTCCAACCATCTCCAACACCCGTTAGCATTGCATGTCGTGGTAATCGGTGTTCAGGCATACGTAACACAAGGCCCATCTCAGTCGATGAAGATTCACAACCTCATCAACTGATTTACCATCATCCCCTAATACCCTGCGTCTAACCTCACTATTACTTACCCGGTGATCCCAGCAGACGCCAGCAATATTTCTAAGGCATCTGTGGTCAAATACTAATAGCTTACGAGTGTCTTCTACTCTTAATGGTCATGTTTCGCTGCCGTAAATTAAAACAGAACGAACTGCCGCGCAATATACTCGTTCTTTTATTGATAGACGGATATCTCGCCTTCGCCAGAGGTGACGTAAGTTGGCAAAAGCCAAACGAGCTTTTCGAATCCGTGCTGAGATTTCGTCCGATACCAACCCATTAGGGCTGATCAGACTTCCAAGATAAGTGAAGTTGTCGACGCGTTCGACCCTATCCTTAGTTCAGGTGTTGACGCAGACCAGTCCTGAAGCAACAACTTGCATTTAGAGGGAGAGAAGCGCATTCCAAACATTCTGGCATTGTAGCTTAGTGCTACCAAAAGACTGCATTTTATCAGCGTCTTCACCAAACAGGACTATATCATCTGCGTATTCTAAGTCGATAAGTGGACCTCCTGGAAGGAGATCAATACCTGAGAATTCAGTCGACGAGAATGTTATTTCCATCAGTAGGTCTATGATGGAGTTAAACAAAAATGGAAATAGTGGACAGCCTTGACGGACACCACTTGAGGTTGCGAAACTAGATGACAGTTCGCCATAAGCTCTGACTCGACTAGTAGTGTTCGAGTAAAAAGCCTTTACAAGGTTTATGTACTTCTGGGGTACGCCTTTCAATGACAGACACTGCCACAGAATCTCGCGGTCTACCTAGTCAAATGCTGCTTTTAAGTCAAGAAAGACCACCATTGTAGGACGTCGATAAGTATGCCTGTGTTCTAGATAAAGTTCAAAGTTAGTCTGTTTTCGATGACGATGTTAAGTTCAAAAACCAGTGAGATAAATGTACTGATTTTTGGAAATTAATTAGTATCAGGCTATATCACTCCTATTCACACAAATTAAACCTCATGACTTTCACGTTAGATAATCTCTTACACTGCTGCCTTCTCGAAAATTGTTATGGATGAGTTGTCATCAGTGATGTTAGACCGGAATAAACTGTTTAACTGTTAGTTTCAAAAGTCGATCTTCGTCTTTTTACTCAGCACAATAGATCAGGTAGGAATTGAGCGTATTGTTAAAATTAGGTGGAGAAAATAATGAAATTTAAATAATATTCTATTCAGTGTAATCTGAAGATGATTTTACATTTCCAAAAATTTTACTTTACCCAACAAATGCTGCGAAGTAATGAATATAAATAAAACTTAATCATACAGGTATTGTCGTTACCTATAATATTGTTTGTGCCACGTTATAGCAACATAACCATCTCTTACACAACCAGCCACACTTATAACTTGTTCAGACACAAAATTTGATATCCAATTATAAAATAACGAATCAATGATTGAATCTCATCTGTTATTGTTTAGGCGCATAAGGTTCACCAATAATAATGATTTCCCGGTACAAGTTTGTGTTTCATTTACAAGTTTTCACCAAGCACAGAAATGTTTACTGGATTCAATGCACTCCCCACTAAACAGTGCAAATTAACACTCAGCACAATTATAACACATTCCAGTCAGTGTGGCATGAAACAGTATTTAGTGTCAAACATTAAGACAGGACATTATATTTGATAGGCGAACAAGATATAAGCGATTAACTCACACCTAGAATACTGAACACTTTTACTCATGCAACTCGATCCACAGTGAAAAAATTAAGAATTGGTAATTTATTTAACTATGTATGAATATTACTTTCAGTAGGAATAGAATCCTTATCAAAATGTTCATTATAGAATTTCAGTATATTGGGATGTGCAAATCCCAATCGTTCAAGTGACGGTAGGAAACCTAAGTTGCAATTCTCATAAATGAGATTATTACCTGCCCCTGAGAAGCGAATATTTGAAAAACGGCAACATAAATGTAGAAATTCGCTCACCGTCTACCTGACCTACTGGGACTATTGACAAGAGACTAAATTCGTACCAAAACCTATGAATCCGAAGTAGCACACTACACAAACTGACAAATTTAATGACAAGGTGATCCGTATAGAAAACAAGATGTACTTTTCCATAAGTTATATTGCTCAACTACCATGTTTCTGTTGGATCGGCATCTAAATTACTCCAACCACCTGCTGTCCCACCAACAGGACCGTAACCAGCAGCGGCTATCCCCATATCGCCTAATGATCCGACAGGCATTGTTGGCTCAACTCCCCACGTTTCTGCAGCTTCGATATCGGCCCCTAAAATTGTGAAGATAATAACAGACAGTGAGCGCAACATAAACAAATGACGGGGGGAGCTTTGGTTTTAAAATACATTTCACAGGACATCTCTTCCCAACTTAGACTGGAATAATGAGATTAATAAGCCCACATAGGTTCATAATGCGACCTAAGTGTAGCTGCTACTTCAACGTGGTGGTCAAGCTTGCATATCGTGATGATTCGACCGAGACATATCGGCTGCAAAACATGTTCCTTTGAGAAAAGATTAAAGGCAGCAACTTATCATCTGAGACTGATGTTATACTAATGACTGTACAGGCGTGAAAGCAGTGGTGTTTCCCTAGGATAACTAGCATCTGCAATAATGCTCCCTTTTCACATCAGAAGAGAATAAGGAAGCTTAACCCTTAAAATGTGACATTTTAACCTAACCCGACAGGTTTCAGTCTCCGTAAGTAAGGACTTTTGAAGTGCGGAGCTAACGCCTTAAAAAAGCTTTCCATAAAAGAGTTGTGCGTGACCGGCTTCAAGCAGTTGTCCTTTGGGCTTTGCAGTCACATCCCCAGATCAATAACACCATCACTAATTCAGCTTCGTTTTCAAGTCATTCAGGAAGAAATAGCCCCCCACGGTGTGGGCAGCTAGGAAGTAACAACTGCTCACATACCTCCAACTGACTTATACAATGAGAATTGGACAAACAGTTTAGTGTCTGGCATGCGTATGATGAAAACTTGTAACACTATGCATTACTACAATAAGAACAAAAATATAAAATATTAGTAGTACCAAAAATTATGCCACTTCTCGTTCTCTTACTATGCTAGACGAAGTAAACACACTCAGGTGGTCAACTCGGATTACAGGTGCATCTATCGTGACACGAAAAAAGCTAATAAACCCTGGAAGATCATAAGCTGCCTAAGATAATCGTTTTACTTGTGTAGCTTTAAACAGTTCCGCATACTAGAACGTTTTCTAAGATGAACGATATCGGAATAAATAAATTTCTGAAGAGAATTTTTATTTGAACACAAAGCTAAGTGTGATTTATCTGGAAGTTGTCCGGTTGAAAAGTACCTAATGGAACTACGTAGGATAAAGATTCAAGGTCGTTATTTGATTGGATTTCTTTCTAGCTTCCTGTTATTGGCCTAGTTATATCCCGATATTATAGGATGGTGAGGGATACCTAGAGATACTGCTGAGCTTCAGGAAAACATTTGGGAATTAGCATAAAAATCTGGCATTTGTTAATCGCAAGAGCATTGTGATGCTTTTGCTCATTAAATGAAGTGTTGGGCTACCAATTGTGATTTAGTGTTCATTACCAAGAAAGACACATTGATATTCAGTAAGCCAAAACTATTAAGAACTTTTGGTTAGTATCTTGTACTTTCATCCACTTACGTGCTTCAAACAACTGAGTGTCTCACTGAAACTCAAGCGTTGCAAACAATCAAACAGCCTGGAGCCATAAATATTACATATGACGACACTAACGAGATTAGAATTAAAATTGTCAGTCGGTGTACTATTGATTTATTTATTTTAACACATAGATATTGCTACGAGGCACCAAATACATATGCGTCACACAAATCTCATTTGATATAAGTGAGGGCTGTGATACTGACCGGGTGTCCAAACCGAAGCAGGTGGTTCTCTTAGAGGGCCACACCCGGAGTCTTTGACCAGGTCTGATCCACAAGTCAGTAGAGCAACGTCAGGTGAAGCAGTCCCATGGTGGTCGGTGACCAACGATTGGTTTATACGCCATTTGTTCCTTTAGGATACTGGAGCCCATGTGCACCATTGGTTTGAAACCAGGGTTTTCCAACTCCCCTAGGTGTACTCTCCATGTCCACCAACCCGATCAAAGCGCCGGACATTCGCTTTTCGTCCTCTTAATTTCGTAATCAACACCACCACGAGAAGGGAGTGAGTAGGACTTCCCTGGAAGAGGCTATATACGCGTAACCATGTGAAAGCATTTCGAGAGGGATAGCGGACTCTCCCCACTCTCGGCCGTACCAGGGCATTTAAGGGTCATCGATTTCGACAAAAAACTGGGCTACAGTTTTCCTAACTTGTGAATCTAAGACTTAATCATATTCCAAAAATAAATATTAGTTAAGTCGTCTTAAAACCTGCTGTGTTTACAGTATCTACATTATCTAAATATATAATACCGACCGGTATGTCATGATATCGACACGAATTTACGAATCTGACTGTTAGTTGTTTGAAAACCGATTGCTTTTGATTTACTCAGGCCTGAAGATCTGGATCTAAACAAATGGAAATGATGTTTTAGTCCAGATTTTTACACTTACATCATGACCTATCACTACTTATTATACAATGTAAAAGCATACGTCCTGAAAAACATAATTAACCTGGCAAAGCGGGTTCCAATCTAGCATCATCAACTTCCTCAGCATTTTGCTCTTCCTCGTTGGGATCGCGATAGAGAAACAGGTCTGGTAATACACTCCATTGATGCAACCTTGTATCTTCACCGCGGATGCGCCGAACTTCACGAGCAAGAAGCCACCACACAACGGCAATAGAATGCGTTGACTAAAGGCAATTACGTGAAAACCAGAAAACTACCTTGTTATTACAGGGAATGACGATATCAACACGTGACAAAGGGGTGTCAGTATTGCAGAATGCAATGAGCGGAACATTTACAGAATTAGCTTCATATACAGCTTGGTGATCGCTTATTGGATCACTGACAATTAGCAGGCGGGGCTCTCGGAAACAAGACTAAAGAATATTATGAAGACACGCGACATACTTGTTTCTGGTTGGTGAAAGTACCAGGTGTGAAGCGGCCTGCCATTGCTGTTGTTCCTGTGTAGTTCGCAAATTTTAATACGGCACGCTGAGTAAACGGCCTGGACCCGATTGCGTAAACATCAGTCGGATGATCAATTGCTGCAATAGCACGAGCTGATAGAAGGATTTTCTCCCATGTTTTATCCAACTTAATAATGTGATAATTATCTTTAGTACACCCATGGACGTATGTTGACATTTGGAAATTCATATTAGTCTCCCCCACATGAACGTGGGCTGCAAGCATTAGGCGCAGGTCCTCTGCCGAGAGTTCTAAAACTGGGTAACCACCAGACATGCTTGACAACAACCAGACCAAATCACGAGCAGAATTGAAAGGGCGCTACTGCGACTGAGTAGCCATCTGATGAAAACAAAGGAAGTTTTGTGTAGCAAGTAAACTTTATAAGAAGAAAATAGTTTAATCCACATTTTTACCCTTTGTTGATAGAACTTTTCATATTCGGTTCTTCATTGAAGTCCCCATCTTTGAGATGGATATAGCAAATGGAATATATCTCCGAAAAACCCGTAGCTTATACTGAGCTAATATTCGGGCTAGGCTTCATAGCAAAAGGATTATAAAGCGGGGTAATCGCAGCTACAGAAACACAGCTAATAACGGACGTAAATATTTCTTTCTATATTAGAACTGATTGGGTAAACGTTACGTGTTTACACTCGGAACCGACTTCACTGGAGACATATTACAGTGATACACGTAGTGTAGCTAACTGAATGATAAAGTCTGAGCGCTGCTTAATGTTTATCAGAGCTGTGCATCTTAGTTCAAATTATACCCTGGATGACTTCGTTTAGAGGTATATGTATGCGGAGTAAGACTAACACTCGTCTTATCGTCAGAAATACTTTTAATAGATGGGGCTCATAACTTAGAATAAACGCAGAGGTAATAACATTATATTTCTTCTAGAGCGGGTACACGAAATTTTTACAGGTATGATTTACAAATTACAACATTAAATTGCTTACAGTATGCTCCGAAGTAGGGTCGTTAAATATACTAAATCAATGAAGGTAAATAACAGTACATTAGTGCACATGTCTTGGAGCGTTAATAATTAGTTTTATGCTTTAGCATTACACCAAGTACAATCTTCAAAATATTCTTTCAAAGTGGCATCGCCTCTACTTTATACACCAGATCCCAGCTCGGCATGAATGTGTTAGAATTCTGGTCGTACAAAGAATTTATGCAATACAACAGTTGTTATGAAGTAGATTTATAGAGTACTTTGTGTGAACCACGACCTAAAGAAAACGCGTACGTCAAGTTTGTGTTCAGGCGTTAGAAGCCTCATAGCTATGCTCTCAGAGAAAGATTCTGAAAAAAGAAACAAAGAAGCAGCAATGAACTTGGATAAGCAATGCTTAACATTTTGTAGTGGAACAGACAGAGGTATAATAAACTAATAGATCAAACTCATACCGGATTTTGTTGCCAGAGTGAAATATGATTAGGGCCCCCAGATGAGAGAATGAAGCTATAAAGAACAATGAGTTATAATATTTAACATCGTGGAGTAAGTTCAGATGATCGGAAGAAAGTCGAAGTTACAAGACGGAACGCTATTTATTAGAACCGAAAAGGCATCAAGAAAGTAAAGTGTTGAGATAAGATATCAAAGGTATTCGGAATCGACAGCACTTTTAAATGTAACACCTTTATAACCAAATTATACCGACTCTGTGAAATCAAGAATGGCTAACAGTTGCAGTTACTCACTAGTAATCTGATGCGGATGCATGACCGAACGCCGTCAGACAGGGGTGTCAAGTAAAACTTATGGAGTCAGCATGATTTTCGAAGATTCACGGAGCTATTTATTCTGAGGATTTATTGGCATTAGTTTCATTGGGAACACTGTAGCTGACGGCACTCGCTCAGGCAACCGCAACAGATCCCCATTGAATGCGCTGTGCTATACATTCTCCGCAACAACTATCTAGCTTAGATCAAACAATTCTTGGTACACTATATACCTTTCAAATATGTATTCGAACTCCTTCTTTGATAACTTCTGGTTTGACTGAGTCTGGGTTCCTCGGTTGTAAATTTGTGACGAACGAAAACATTTTCAAGCTCTGAACATTTGTGAAATCCTCTGTGGTGAACCTCACATGGTCTTGTGCACCGTATGACAAACTGTTCGACTATTTCTTGTCACGATATTACGCATATAACATATAGTATTATTTCTGTGTTCTTGAATTTTTCGAGAATATTTATATACTTTATTCTTAATATGTCTGAATACACATCTAAACTGTCGAAGATTCAAACTCTTACTCTTTCAACCTCGTGACACTCTTAAAAAGGCTATCCTGTAGTTTCAGCTATTATGTTAAACCCACACATTGTATTCTAGCTTTTGGATAGCCCATTCTATTCATTCTACTTGAGTCACATTTTGGCCTTGTTAATTATTCACTTATCAAACTGGTCCGCTTTTATATGAGTGTGATGATACAGGTATTCAGTGTTTGACAACGCTTCTACCAGTAACGCCTAATATACTTTGTTCCCACCGAGAGAAATCAAAAGACAGAGTCGAGGAGATCGGAAGAGTGAATTTGGCGATTACCAATATATCGGAATTCCCTGATTTAATCTGGCTAGCGATTGCGGTAGATGTTGAGCACAGCGTTACCATACGTGATCTGGTGCGGATGTCCAGTAGTGCTTTACGTGCAATAGTCGTTTAAATGTTCTGGAAATCTTACTCTTCTTCCAAAACGTGTCGTTTTAAGTTTATTTTCAGACACATTCGGAGTGTCATCGCCAGTGTTGGTTGTTGGTTGAAAAATTATGAGTGTAGGAGTCGTGTTGTGCGATTGTACCCAAGGGAAATCGACGTGAATAGGATTTCCTTCTAAATACGCTGCTTTTAAGCGATCGATGCTGATGCTATCGTTTGTTCCGTTCTTATCGACTATATAAAACTTAGATTCGAGTTGAAGAACTTTGAAAGGTCTTTCGTATGCTGATTAGAATGGTCGTCGATGCGAGTCTCGACGAACGAAAACGTGTGTACTATATTGTAAGTCAGGTTGAACGAAAACATCGGTTGATTGTGGTCGAGTGGAAGCAGGTTTAACTGAACGCATTGCGTTTGTAAGCCTGTTCGTGTAGGAGGTTAGATCCATGTTCATTGAAGAGGATGAAGGATCCACGAATTCTCCTGGAAGTCGAAGTGTCGTTCCATAAACGAGTTGAGCTGCAGTGTATCCAATGTCAGCTTTCACTGCATTGCCGATACCTAGTAAGACGAGTGGAAGAGCGTCGGTCCACTGTGAAACGTTTGCAGCTGATAGTGAAGCTTTTAGTTGTCGGTGAAAACGTTCTACCAACCCGTTTGCTTGTGGGTGGTAGGCGGTCGTTCGGAAGCGAGTGCTTCCTAATAGTGTGGTCAGACGACGGAAAAGTTCAGACTCAAACTGATGTCCGCGGTTTGTAGTGATGGTTGAAGGGCAACCGAAGTTTGCTACCCATCATTCGACGAAGGTGCGGGCCACTGTTTCAGCAGTGATGTCCTTGATGGGTCCTGCTTCTGGCCATCGAGTGAAACGATCTACTCTGGTTAAGAGGTAAGAGTATCCATTTGAATCTGGCAAAGGTCCTACCAAATCCAGATGAACATGGTCGAAACGAGCATCGGGAGTTTTAAATGAGCCTAAGGGACATTTATTGTGTCTGATGACCTTAGATTTTTGGCAGCTTACATAGGAGTGTGCCCACTCCCTCACGTTTCTATTCATACCAGGCCAGCAAAACCGTTCTGCTATAAGCTTGATGGTTGCACGAACACCTGGATGAGAAAGTTTGTGCAATGTGTTGAAGACATTGTGTCGGTAATGTTTCGGAACGATTGAGCGATCCCTACCTGTAGATGTGTCACAAAGTATGGTTTTCTTACCTGTTCCTATCTGTTTGATGCGTAGTTCGAGTGTGGTAGACGATAGCTCGTGCTGAAGTTCAATGTCTACTTTTTAAAAAGCTGGTCGAGTTTAAGGTCGATTCCTTGGAAACTGTTCAAGGAAGTTATTCGAGACAAGGCGTCTGCAACTACATTGTTTGCTCCAGAAATATGTTGAATATCTGAAGTAAACTGTGAAATGTAGTCCAGTTGTCGAGACTTACGGGGAGAGTACTTGTCAGAAGGAGAGCTTAACGAGAAAGTGAGCGGTTTATGGTCCGTGAAAAAAAGGAATTCACGACCTTCGATATAGTGCTGAAAACGCCGTACAGCACAATACATAGCAAGGAGTTCCCAACCGAATGTGCTGTACCTCGACTCAGTGTCTAGCAACCGTCTAGAAAAAATGCAAAAGGTTGCCAGCAGTTGTTGACCCATTGTTGTAAGACTCCTCCGATTACCAAGTCGGGTGCGTCTACTGCGATACTAATGGGTGCTTCGGAGTCCTGATGTGCGAGCATTGTTGCTTTAGCGATTAGTTCCTTAACTGTGGAGAATGCTTTTCGTGCGGTATCGTTTAAATTAATTTATTTCGCATTTCCACGAAGTTGGTCAGTAAGAGGTTTCATAAGTAATGCGCATTTCGGTATGAAGCGTCTATAGAATTTTACCAGGCCGTTAAACGTGCGTAATTGCTTGACGTTGGTCGGTTCTGGGTAATCCAGAATGGCCGCCACTTTGGTCCTAAGAAATTGAATGCCTTGAGCATCGATAGTGTGTCCTAGGAAGTCTAACGAGTCGGTACCGATTTGGCATTTATGAATGTTTACAGTAATGCCATGTTTTTGTAATCGTTCGAAAACAAGATCCAGATGCTTGAGATGTGATTCTCTGTCCGGACTTGCGATTGGGCAGTCATCAACATACGCATGTACGAAGTTGAGACCTCGAAAAACGTCGTCTATGAATCTTTGGAATGTTTGAGCAGCGTTTCTTAGACCGAACGGCATTCGCAAAAATTCATAGAGTCCGAAAGGAGTTATGATAGCTGTTTTCTGTATGTCGTCAGTAGCCATAGGTATTTGGTTATACACTTTAACCAAGTCGATTTTCGAAAAGACAGTTGTACCTTTCAAGGTAGCTGTCAAATCGTGAATGTGAGGCAACGGGTAACGATCGGGAATGGTTTTCGCATTCAATCGCCGATAGTCACCAGTTGGACGCCAATCGTTGCTGTCCTTTTTAGGGACCATGTGCAACGGAGATGCATAAGAGCTGTTTGACGGTCGTATGATTCCTAAGTCTATCATGTGATCGGATTCGTTTTTCGTTAACCTTAGCTTTTCAGGAGCTAGTCGTCGTGCTTTAGAGAATACAGGTGGTCCTATAGTCGTGATGTGGTGTGTAACGTTGCTGGTTACACAC